GGCTTGCCTGCACCATCCCCAGTGCCTGCCACATACAGGGTGCTCAGTCAATGATGGTTGGTTGAGTGATTTCTATTCTCAGATGTTTTCACCCATTCAGGGCCCAGCTGCTGCCCTTAAAGGCTTTCTAATCCAGAGCTGATGGGACCTGACTTTGAGACTCTTTTGCTGAAACCTCCAGGAGGCGCAGGAATGACATCACTCACTCATGAGGACTGTCAGACATTCTCTAAGGTGGGTGGGTGGGAAGTGCACCTGTGTGCGGTGCAGCCTGCACACACAACATCACTTGACCCCTTCTCTCTTCAGAAGGGCAGAGGCAATCCCCCCACCCCACCCTCCCTCACTGGGTGTTGTGGGTTGCGGCTCCCCTCCCCAGTATGTTGAAATCCTAAATCCTAGGACCTGGCCTTATTTGGAAATAGTCTTTGCAGATATAATTGTTAGGATGAGGCTCACTGGATTATTCATTTGAAATTCAAATTTAAATTATTTCAAATTAATTTATTGGGCAATCCTGTATTTTTATTTGTCAAATCTGGAGACCCCAGTTGGGAAGAAAAAGAAAAGTGCTTTTGCAGGAAGGAGGGAATACAGGTCTAGGGGAATTCGCAAGTCCTACTGTTGGGGGATGGCTACCTGTGGCCCAGGAAGCAGTGCTGACCCATAAGTGGGAACTGTCTGACCCCCAGGAGGACCCATGGCATGGGCCTGCATTGGAGATGGAGGGCCCAAGCCAGCATAGTGGCCCTGGGGGAACCTGTGAATCCCATAATAATAAGAGGAAGTGGGAAACAGGGAGAGGCAGAAATCTGGAGGTGTCGATGACCCAATCCAGGGCCACCTTGACACTCCAGGGCTTGTCAGAGGCCCATACTGGAAAGTATGTATTGAAGACATCACAGCTGGAATGGTGGTGTTGCAGGGGCTTCTGGGACCCACATCTGGGACAGCAGGCTAGAATGAGTGACTGGAGAGCCAAGGGACAGCACCAGCCACTCCAAAAGTCCCACACCAGGTGGGGCTTGTTCTTCCTGAGGCCTTGGATCTGGAATGTTCCCCCAAAACGTGGGCCTCATTGGGAGAAGCAGGTATTGGAGGCACAMCCCCGAAAGGGTATATCTTGTCCTCCACCCCTCTCAACCGAGCCAAGTGACCATGGACTGAAACCTCTGAAACTGTGAGCCAAAATAAATCTTTCCTGCTCTCAGGTGATTTTCTCAGGTGTTTTGTCACAGTGGYGAAAACCTGAAACACCCTCCCCACCAACACCACAGAAACTCTCAGCAAGTCAGGCAAGAAAAGCCACTGTTTATTTACACCTTGGTCTGTACATTACAGTTCCSGGGAAGGCGCCCGCCGCTGAGATAGAGAGCAGCAGGAGGCGAAGAGCTCAGGACCTGGGACCCAGCCTTGGGGCCTCGCCCCACACCCTCCCTCTCTGGGGCCTGAAAGCAGAAGTCCCATCCCAGTCCTAAAGCTAAGGCCATTTCCAGACCCGGACTCCTGAGGCAAACACCCAAGTGGAATCCCACAGAGTCAGAAGCCGTGAACCAAGCCCTGGAGCGTGAGGTCACCATGCAGTCTACTCTACCTGGTCTGCAAGAGACCCAGCCCCAGATGGGAAAAAGCTGGGAGGAGGGGAGGCGACGAGGGGCTGAGAGTCCTCAGTGATGCCCTGTCCCATCCGGGTCCTGACATCAGTCTGGTATTTAATGGCACTCTGGTCTGAGCACCTTCGGCAGACTAGGAAGGGCTGGGCAGGTGTTGATACACAGGCAGGGACAGTAGCAAGCCTCTTCCTCTCCCTCGGGTCTGCAGCTGTCCTACACACTAGACACCTGGCCCTAAACCCAGGCCCACTGCTGGGTACAGGGAACCACACAGCCAGGGCTTCCTCCAGGAGCAGCAGGTATCTGCTGCAGACCTGCCAGATTCACGGCACCCCTGCTGGGACCAGTGGCCCAGGTTCAAATACCCGCATGCTCACAGCAAGAGAAGTCGCTTTCCACGAAGTTGCCCTTACCTGGGATTCAGGTTTCTAACTAACCGCAGGCTGGGGGCTGGACTCAGTGCCGGGCCCCCAGTGCTTAAGACAATGACAAAATACTCTGTACAAAGTCACCGAGTCTACAAGGCAGGGTGAGGCCGGGGGAGCTGAGGGGAGGCGGGCCTGGTCTTGGTGGGTCGTCAAAGTGTCTGGGAGCTCGGCCGTCTGGGGGGGAGGCCAGAGGTTACAAAGTAGGATGCATGTGTCCACGTTTACAGGGCTGGGAAGGMAGCGACCACGAGTGTGTGTAGAAAAGGGGGCAGTGGGGACACAGGGAGAATCTCGTACAGTGGTGACAGGGAAAAAAAGGCACGAGGACAAAGACCCCAAACCATGCAGACAACAACAGCCTGGGCAGCACAGCAAAGCAGGCAGTCCCAGCAGGATGCAGGGTGGCCCCGGGCACAGCAGCACTGAGACTGGCAGCAGAGGTGGCCTGGGATGCCCTCCCCAGCTGGTGTCTCTGGGGCAGACAGCCCTACACTACAGTCACAACGGAGAGAGGAGGAGCGTGCGGAACCCAGTGAGAACAGTGGCCTTGCCCTTCACCAGGGTCTTGCTCATAGACACACACTCCTCTGGAAAGCTGGAAACCTCTCAGATGGGCAGCCAGAGGATGGCAGAGGGCCATCAGGCAGGTGGGGCGGGCCCGTGGGAGCCCTCCTCAGCTGCCCATCACAGGTACACGTGTCAGGACCTTGAGGTCCCTAAGATCAGAGCTCCAAGTCACCAGGTAAGGGTCCGGCCCCTCTAACTTCAGACCCCTTGTGGGGCGGGCCTCCGTCTTAACAGCCTGAAGCACCAACCTACAGAGGAGACCTTGGGTCCCGAAGGGAGGGACGGGGAGGAGAGACCATGGGGGATGCTAGCACTGAATCCCTAAATGGCCCCTCTCCTCACTCAGCCCCCTACAGAGCCATCAGGGACCTACCAGGTGACCAAAGTCATTTCCTTGGCATGGTGACTACCCAATCCCATCCAGAGCCAGCTCTCACACACACCTGGAGGACACAGAGGGGACTGAATGCTCCCCACCTCACCAGGCCTTGCTGCAGGCCCTGGCAGGCTATGACGTCCCTTGCTGGGACAAAGGGCCCCCACCTGGGCCAGGAATCAGACTGGTCAGTGGACTAGCACCTGGAGCCTCCAAGGCCTGAGCCTGGGTCTGGTTTGGCTAACAACGGGAAGAGCCAGGCCTTCCCTCATCTGCCCGGTCAGAGCACAGACAAAGCCCACGAAGCCAGGGGCCCTCTAGCTCAGCTGTGTAAGCCGGTGGCTCTCAGGGAACAGCTCTCAGCCGACTCTGTTCTGCCCCCACTTAGTAAAGGGCCTGTGGTCAATACATTTCAACACGTGTCATCTCTGACTCAGGGGCAGAGACTGCTGCCCACCTAAGTGTACTCATCTCCAAGCTGCGGAGAACAGCTGGATCTACTGGTCCCGAGGCCATCTGGACTCCCATCCTGGGGCRAGGGCCACTTGACATCACCACAGGTAAAGCCACCATCCACCACCTCAGCAGGCCCTGGACCTGTCCTGGCTCAACAAGCCCAGAGGCCACTGCTACCGGTTTTCTCGACCTCTGGCCAACAAGCTTCTAGGACAAGGGGTCTCAGCCCTGAGCTACACACTGACATCACCTGAGGTCTTTAAACACGCAGGTACCACAATTCACAGTAGCCAAACTATGGAACCAGCCTAGGCGTCCACTAACAGATGAACTGATACATAAAATGGGGTATAGATACACAACGGTGTTTTACTCAGCCGTAAATAAAAATAAGATTATGTCATTTGCAGGAAAATGGATGGAACTAGAGACCATTATGGTAAATGAAATAAGCCAAACTCAGGTCCAGGGTCATATGTTTTCTTCATATGTGGAAGCTAGAGAGGAAAAAGGAAAAGAAAGGTGTGGGGGAGGGGATCTCATGAAAACCAAATGGAGATCAGTAGATGAAAGGGACCAGGGGGTGGGCGGGATATTGGCCAAATCAAATAGTTATATGGTGTGCATGATGAATATGTAACAAGTTCTTTTAAAATCTAGGTGCCGGGGCCACAGCAATTCAGTCTGGACCTCTGGGGAGTCAGCCCAGTCATCAGAGTTTCCTCATCTCTCCAGGTGACTGCAGTGCACACTGCTAGAAGCCTCCAGAGGACTGGAAGTTTCTGGTGCTTTGTGGTTTTTATAGATCAGAAATAAAGTCAAGAAAAAGGAATTCCCCTCTGATGATTCTCAAATAGATCTACCMGTTTAAAATAAAATAATCCAGGTCTAACTACAGCTACTTCAAAGTTAAAATTTAAAAAAAGGAAAACATTAGCTGATTTTGTTTGGCTTCCAATTGATGGCAAGGACAGCTCAATGTTACTTAAAATGTGAATCTTCTCCAGAACCCCCCCWCTGCCCCCAAACAAAACCCTCTAAACTTTAGATAGATTACTATTGATCTGTCCTATTGGTAGACAAAAAACAACCCTCACCCCAAACTCCCATAAAACACCCAGTTAAATTAGATGCACCTGGGTACTCCCAAATTCAGAGGCTTGGGTTAGGGGTCAGGACCAATTAAACCAGAATGTCCAGGGATCAGTTTGTGGTTTGTTTGTTTTTGGGAACTGGGGATTGAACCCAGGGCATSGCATGTGSTAGGCAAATGTTCTACCACAGTGCTATACCCCAGCCCGTTTGGGGATCAAAAAATTTTAAAGCTCATTTAAAATATGTCTCAAGTATTAACTGGAACATATATATTCTAAAAGTGAAAAATTATTTGCTGTGTATCTGAAATTCAAAAAAAAAATTTTTTTTTTTTTTTTTTTTTGGTATCAGGGATTGAACCCAGGGGCACTCCATCATAGAGCCACATCCCCAGCCCTTTTTTGGATTTTATTTAGAGACAGGGTCTTGCTGAGTTGCTGAGGGCTCTCTAAGTTGCTGAGGCTGGCTTTGAACTCATGATCCTCCTGCCTCAGCCTCCCAAACCTCTGGGATTACAGGTGTGACCACTGTGCCTAGCCTGAAGTTCAAATCTAACTGGGCACATGTTTACCACCTAGCAATACAACAAGGGACAGCTGGGGTAGAACTCCCAGCTGGAAAATGAGCAAGGGAGGCAGAAAACACAGCGGGAGCAGGGCTGTGGAGCTGGGGCATCAGCTCCCATCAGGCTAGCCTTCAGGATCAGAAGAGCATTTTAAAGACATACATGATTTGGGGGGTGGGGTGTGGGGGGCGGCAGTAGGGATTGAATCCAGGCCCTTGCACAAGCCCTCTACCACTGAACTACATCTCCAGCCCCCAAACATACCTGATCTTAAAAAGCTGAGCTGACAGACAAGAAATGCATCCTGGCCGAAGAAAGTAAGGAGGTTGGATTTAATGGAAGGTGTGTGTTACAGGGAATTCACTCCCTCATTTAAAAGTCCCTCTCTCTGACACTAGCTCAGATCCAGAGGGTCTTTTAGACCTGACTTTTTTTTTGGCCTCTCAGGAAACCCATGCCAATGGCGCCCCCTACRGGGAGAGGCGAGGAGAATGGAGCAGGCTGTCTTTTCCCACTTCCTCTTCCCCTGGCAGAAATTCCTTCACAGCGGCTCTAACTCTGGCTTCTGTGGCCTTCTCTGGAATCTGCACTAATGCAGCTAAAGAACATATGCAATTTTACTTATTAAATACTCACCCCCATGGACCAGGGCCCTGACTTGGCCGGCCTCAGTGGCACTTCTTGCAATAGAAAACCCAGGTCAATGCCATGTTGCAACTTGTCATTTGCCTCTGGTGGTGGCCATTCCTTGCTACTGGCAAATTCTCAAGAGACCCACTCCTCAGGCCGCCTTTCTCTGCCTGTGTCTTCTCAGACCCTTGGGGGAGCCTAGTATCCTGAGAACAGGGCCTTCTAGAGAAAATGCCCCAGCCAGTCTTCTGGGCCTGGGTAATTCCAGAGTCCTGGGCAGAACCAGTGCAACCCCATTATTTGCAGCATGAGACCAAACTGCACATATTAAAAAGAAATCACAAAATCCAACAGAAGCAAAGTTGATTGGAATGGAACAAAGATCAGTCTTGGCTACAGCCCTGCCTCCAAACCTGGGGACACACCCAAGTCCCCCAGGTCCCCTCTTCATCCTCCGCTGCCCGCCTTCTCTGCATACACCCCTCTCTACCCTCCCCAACATGCCCGAACCTTCCTTTTCCYGCTAGATGTGCTGAAGAAAACAAGAAACTGCAGGGGAAGAAATAAGACCATATGTGTTTATATAGATTTGGGTCAAGGAAAGGAATCACAAGCTATAGAAAATTCAGATAGACTGGAAAACTCGAAGGAAAGGACCACATCTATTCCCTGCTGCTGAGAACAAGAGATCACATTAAAAATCCACGGTGGAAATTCCCACCATGTGTCCAAAGCACGGAAGACAAAGGTTTCCCTGCAACTTTCCCACCTGCATGTCCCACCAGCGCAGTGTCTGTTCCCCTGGATGAAGACCAAAGAAGGGGGGCCGCTCTAGCTCCCCAGGGGAGCCCAAGCTCGGATTCTGGAATCCATCCCGAGGCCTGCCCTCACCAGTCCTCACCAGTGACAAGCGATAGTCCGTCTGCGCGGCTGCGGGCAGCCCTGCCCCTCTGGGAATCCTTTCTTTGGTTGCCCAACCTGTTTTGACACCCCCACCTCCTAAGCTGCTTCTTTCCTTTTGATTTCTTCATTTTATACCCAAGTGAATGGTGCTTCTATTTCATTGTCTTAAAAACAAAACCAAACCATAAAGGGGAGGTAGGTGAGCAGGCGGGGAGGGCARGGAGAACGTCAAGATGCCAAGAACCCAGCAATGAGGACGGCCTGTCTACAGCTCTGCGAACCCGAGTCCTCTGGACACCGTACACTGCCCCACAGAGGGCTGCCCGAGGGCTCCTCCACTGGGTCCCCCCAGACGCCCCTTCCTTCTCTTTGAGCTCAAATACCTGGGCTTGATGGCCAAAGAGGCTGGAAAGAGCAACCAAACTCCTGGAAAAGATCAGATTTTGCTCCTCGTCCCGGGAGGTGGGGCAGGGAGAGAAGAGCCTGTCTCCCTAGAGTATTTCTAATCCTTATCCCAGAGGTAGAATCATTTTATCCAGTAAGTGAAACATAATTGTCCAGTTCTCGTTATCGCAGGAACTCCCATGGCAGACCTTGTTCTCTCCGCTGCCAGTACCCTCTGCCCCTTGCAAAGGGGCCACAAAGTGCACACACAGCTCACTGCGCAGGTGTCACCAGCCATGGTCCCACGCTCAGCCCACATATACACCAGTACACGGTACGCATGTGGCCAGAGGTACATTTACAGTGTGAGTGTGGGCCCAGGCCCACATCCTGGGGCAGGGCCTGCCCCTTGGTCCCCAGGTCCTAAGGCCGCTCTGCAGCCAGCCACCTCCTCAGTGCTTGATCTCCAGGATGGAGGGGTTGTGGTCCAGGATGGCCAGGATAATCTTGTCCATGTACTGCCTCAGCCGGAAGTTGATCTCCTCCTGTTCTTTTAGGGCTTCCATTAGCTGAAGGGAGTGGGAGAGACAGGTCAGAGGCTAGGCCTAGATGGGGGTGTGGCAGAGCCCAGATCCCCAGTCTTGCAGTGAGCTAGTGTCTGACGACTAAGGGACCCAGGAGGCCCTGGGCCAGGCAAGACCCCACACTAACACCAGCACCTGGAGGCCAGGACAAGGGTCTTAGGCAATGTAAGTGGTCTCTGGAGGCACTGGGGGTGGGCAATTTTTTTTTTTTTTTTTAAGATTGACCACACTGGCCAAAGGCATTTATTTATTTATTTATTTATTTATTTATTTATTTATTTTTTATTTTGGGTGTTGGAGATTGAACTCAGGGGCACTTGACCACTGAGCCACATCCTCAGCCCTATTTTGTATTTTACTTAGAGACAGGGTCTCGCTGAGTTGCTTAGGGCCTCGCTGTTGCTGAAGCTGGCTTTGAACTCGAGATCCTCCTGCCTCAGCCTCCCGAGCCATTGGGATTATAGGCGTGTGCCACCGTGCCCACTAAAGACATATATGATCAAGGCTGACATTCTCAGTTCCAGGGCACCAAAGACTCCTGAGGCTGCCGGCCTTCCCACCCGAGTCCTGCCCTTGCCCTTCTCTGAGGCAATTCCTATTGTGTCCTTTAGGGTGCAGCCAAACTGTTGCCTCTGCCCTGGGGCTAGGGGTGCTGGTGACCAGTCAGGAGCTCCTTGAGGCCAGAGGTTGACCATAAGCTCTGGGTCCCAGGAAGAGTGTAAGTTTCAGTGGCATGGGGTCTTAGGGTCATGTTAAAATGTGGCTAGGAGTTCTGGCATTTGTAGAAGAGTGGGCTTTGGTGCTAGACAGCAGGGTCCCTCTCCCACTGCAGCTGGGTGAGCCTGTGCCCTGGTCTCTTGGTCTATAATGGAGGTATTCGTAAAGCCCCAGAGTTATCAGGTGAAATGAGAACATGCGCAAAAGCCGACGCTAAAGAAATGCCAGCTCCCTTGTCCTCCTGCCAAGGGCGGTGGAATCACAGCCTAACCTGGGTCTCCATGAAGACGCCACCCACTGGCCACTTCTCCGGCAGAGCTCAGACTCATGCTCCACCCTGTCCTAAACCTGTGCTCCTTTCAGCAGAAACCAGAGCTGACTTGTTCCCCTGTGGCCACCTCCTACACAGCTGTGCCCGTCTTTTGGGGTAGTGGTAGATGGGGACACTGAGGGGCCAGGCCCTCCTCTGGCTTTCAGGCCCTGGGCAGCCCCCAGGCTCATGGTCTGGAGGGGGAAGGGGAGGGGCCAGGGTCCAACCAAGAGCGAGGGGACAGTCTACCTCATCTCGAGATGCTGTGTCAATTTCTGCAGCCAAAGACTGGGCTTTGGTCTGGGTAGCAAAGAGGTTCTTTGCTTCATAGAGGCTGAGGCTCAGGATCTGTCCGTTCAAGTCGTCATTCTGATCCCGCAGCTTATGGTTCTCCTACAGAGACAGGTGAAGACAACATCAACTCTAAGAGGCCTCTGGAGTCTGCTAGAACCCTCTCTCTGGATCCACTATTTCCCTACAGCCACAGGCACCCTCCCTCAGCATGTGCTGTGGCCACTTGAGGAGGCCTCACGAGGATGCAGCCTTTGCCAGGCGTCAGGGTGGAGGACCAAATCCTGGTCTAGGGCCTGGAGTCCCTTTGAGATCATGGGGTTGGAGGGGGAGTTACTGGCCTGCCCAGAGGAGCCATGTTTCTTGGACAGGAGCATGCCTGGCCATTCCTTCCTCCCTGGGGCCCACCGGGAGCTCATCCTGCAACCTTGGCCCTTACTGAGGAGAGCCCTGCTCTGGGGTCTGGGTGAACAGGAGCTCTGGAATTCTGCTGAGTGGCAAGTGCTCTGGGCACCCATCCCTCCTGAAGGGGTCATCAGCTGACATCAGCCCTCTGTGCCAGCTCTGGCCTAAAGATGCTTTAAGGCTTGCACTTGAGACCCRGGAGCCCCTCCTGGATGGGGGAAGGGCTAGGCTTAGGAGCACTGCCAGGGCACAGGTGCCAGCTCCTCTGCCTCAAGTGAAACAAACTCAAAGATGTGACTTGAATCACAGACTCCCACCCACATGGTCAGGCTGAGCTTGGTGGACTTCAGTGGACATTACTCCCTTGTAGGGTCACTGCCCCTTCCTGATCCCACTCCCCCACCATAACCGACGTCCAATGAAGGGAGTGCTCCCGGGAGCACTGAAATGGAACCTCAGACTTGGTGTGTCCTGCTGGGAGAACCCAGCCCAGCCAGGCACTAAGCTGCAGCTGGACTGAGTCTCAGTCTCACCCCAAGCATCAAAGACAGGACAGTGATGTCACTTTCTTTTTATAGATGGAAAGATCCTGAGATCCGCCAATGTAGCCAGAGCCAAGTCACTTGACCTGAGCCATGAGCCAGGTAGCCAGTCCTGACGGTCAGGTGGTGGAGAGGAGCAGSGGGGAGTGTGTGGGGCAGGAGGAGGGATTACCACCTTGGCTCCCTTGCCAGGGTCCCAGCGCAGGAAGCCCATGCGGCTGTCCTGGGCACCTCATCCTGCTGGACGGCCGCTCCCAGGGCCCACCTGCTTTAGCCGCTTGACCTCGTGCTCCAGCTCCACCTCGCGGGCCCTGGCACTGAACTCGCCCAGGCCGGAGGAGCCGCGGCCCCTGCCCTGCCGCTCGCAGTCCAGCTTGTACATCTGCAGGTGCTCCAGCTCCTTGCGCAAGTCCTCGATGAGCTGCGGGGGAGAGGCTGGTTAGTGGTAAGGGGGACGCTGGGGGGAGCCCCGGGGCCCTCTGGCAGGGACCCACCTCCTGTGTCGCCTCCCGCTCCTTCTGGAACTCCAGGCGGTTCTGCCGCAGCTTGTCCATCATGCGTTTGTACAGGTCCATCTCGTCCTTGAGCCGCAGGCTGGTGTCCTCCAGCCGGTCGGACATGCGCTGCCGCTCCTGGAGCAAGGAGACCAGTCATGGGAACCGGGTGGCCAGAGTCGGGCACCTCTGACCCAAAGGCTTCTCTGAGCAAATGGAGAGATGGCCCCGCCCCGTGGGACAGAGGGCTCCAAGTCATGGCTTAAAGAACAGGCAGGTCCCCTGTGATTCTAGAAACACAACTAAGAACACCTCAGGCCCAAGTCCTCCAGAGAAGCTGGGTAGAGCCTGTACAGACCACGTAGGCCCCAACAGAAGCTCTCTCACTCTTCAGACTATCATTCCTATCACATGGGGAATGTATACTCTATAATCACTGCAGAAAACACACGCCATTATTCACAGCTTGCTTTATTTTTTAAGGTAGGGGGGTCTAGCTTTTTAGTTTCAGAAAGTATAAACTCACGGCCCTCTTTGGCCAACCTTGCTTCTCTGTGGATACAGCTTCTCGCCCAGAATGCTGCTCACCTCGTCCAGTTTCTCGGTTTGTGACTTGAGTCGCGTCACTGTCGTCCTGAGCTCAGTATTTTCCTCCTCTAATTGTTGCACCCTGAGGAAAGGAGAGAGTCATGAATTTCAGAAATCTGGAATGCAGATTGTCTCACAAGGAAATGGCAGTTTGAAGTGTTTTCTGCCTCCTGGAGGGAATCTACCAGAAACTAACTGAAACAGAGACTTTTTTTTTTTTTTTTTTTGCCAAATGATAACACAGTTTGGGTATCCCTGACCCAGAAACCCAGGAGGCTCCAAAACCTGAAATTGTGTATAATTATTTTCATGCCAGGCATGGTAGTGTGTGACTGTAATTGCAGCAACTCAGGAGACTGGGTTAGGAGGATTGCAAGTTTGAGGTCAGCCTCAGCAACATACTGAGACTGTCTCAAAAGAAAAAAAATTAAAGAAAGGATGTGACTCAGTGATAAGACACCTCAGTACCCCTAGTCATTTCCAGGCTGTGTGTTTGAGCTACATATGAAACACATATAGACTTCACATTCAGGCTTGGGTTTAGCCTCAAGATATCTTAGGTATGTGTAAATATTCTAAAATCTGGGGGAAAAAAAAAAGAAATCTGAAACACTCTGTTTCCAAGCATTTCCAATAGGGTGCACTCCACACACAGAACCCTGAGCTTTCTGCCAGCAGAAGCAAAATAGTAAAGATATTAAGTTGTCACTCTTATTTTTTTCAATAAAAGGAAACATTCATTTGTGAATAAGAACAAAAGACTCTTTTTGCATGCATCCTTTGAAGACTGAAATATCACAGAGGGCCGTTCTCTGCTAGTTGGAGAGAATATCTTCCTGGGGCTGGCTGTGACCAGGCCCTATCTGCAGTTGGAAGGCCAGGACCATATCTGCCTTCCTTTCTGACTCCAGTGTATCACCAGGCCTCTCCCCTGAGTGCTCACTGAGGCTGCCTCCTCCGGGCCTTGGTTCTGATGCAATAATCCTGTTAGTATCACAAAGGGCTGTCCTCAAGTGATTCCATGGACAGCCAGGTACTCAGGCAGGGCTCCAACCACTGTCATTTCCTGGAGGGATGGTTTTCTGACCTCCACTTTCCCCCTCTGAGAGCCCTAGGAGAGGCCCCAAGGCCAGTGCCTGAGGGGAATTCAGACCCAGGGAAGGTGGCCTGGAGCTGGTCAAGGCAGGCAGGCAGCAGGCTATAGACTCTGGGAACACCGCCCACACACTGTGCGTGAACAGCGGCCCCTGRAGTTGTCCAAAGGGCACCAGTGGGGAGGTAGCTGGGGAGGGCAGTGGCTCTCTGTATTTGTCCTCTGGCTCTCTGGCTCGTGCTCACACCGTCTTCTCCCATGTGTCCCATCCTCTAAAGGGCAAAAAGCAGGTTGAGTAGGTGCAGGGGCCCTCAAGGAGACCTCCAGAAACGGAAGCAAACAACTCCTAAAGCCCAAGTTCAAATCTGAAATCCACCCTGGTGACAAGGCTGGTCTCAGCACAGGGGTTCCAGGAAGTCTCCTCTAACTGCTCCAGGGCAGGTGACCCAGTTCCCTTGGGCCTGCCTGGCTGAAGCAGGGGGTGCCCACCCAGGAGCCTCAAGGAACCTCACATGGCCTAACTCCCAGCCACCTCCCCTGTCCAGGCTGGGTGTAGCCAATCTGGGAAGGCTCTGCTCAGAGGCAGTCCCAGGGTCTGAGGAGCATCAAGAGCATCAAAAAGACAGTGTCTTCTCTGCTGGGGCTGAAGGGACCCCAGCCTGTGGGGAAGGGGCCCTCACTGTCCGCATGGCATGCAACAGCCTCCCTGGGGCTCTGGGAAGCAGACATGGGGGAATGACATGTCTAATGGGTGACCAATCAGTCTCCTGGGCCAGTGCACCCCCTGCCCTATCTGCCTCAGGTTCTGACAGTGAAGCCACATGCACACCCGAGGTGCAGGAGCCCATACAAACTGGGACCCTTGTTTTCTAATTCCCTTTGCCCAGGTTCAATCCACCCAAGTAGATTCAGGATCAGAGGCTTTGACAGCAGGGGAGCTCCAAGCCTGAACATCAACCTAGCCTGGGACGCCAGGCAGGAAGTTGGGTTTTTTAATGTATTTTTTTAAAAAAATATTGCTAAATATTTGTATTGCTTCTTTTACCTAATATGAATGATGTTACTATGGAATTTCTTTTGCATACTCCTTAAAGAACAGACCCGTGTGTGTGTGKGGGGGGTGAGGGCTGGGGATTGAACCCAGGGCTTTACACACACGAGGCAAGTACTCCACCACTGAGCTACATCCCCCGCCCTTTTTATTATTTATTTATTTATTTAGAGACAGGGTCTTCAAAGTTGCTGAGACTGGCCTTGAACTTGTGGATCTTCCTGCCTCAGCATTCCAAGTTGCTAGGATGCCAGGTGTGCACCCCGAGTCCAGCTTGCCCACGTGTGTTTAAGGCATCAGAAGTAGACCTCTTACAGCAGCAGCTCAGTTTTCCCGACTACACAGTGGGAGGCAGCAGAAGGCAGGGGCACCTGGTGTGGAGCAGCTCCAGCTCCGTGCTCTTCTCCCGCTCCAGCTTGGTGTAGGCTTCACGGTGTCGCCGGGCCTCCTCCTCCAGTGCCTGCTCGGCCATGGTCTCCTGATCCTTCACCATCTCCTCCAGCTCATGCACCCTGGGGCGGGGGAGGGGGCACAGCTCTAGGACCGCAAGCTTCTGGGGCCTGAGGGGTCTCATCCCAACCCGGTTATTCACAGGGGGAGACCTGACCCTGCCAAATCCCCACACGCCCACCCAGGGAGGGTGGAGTATCTGCTAGGCCTGCCAGCCAAGAAATAAATTAGGACATCTAAAGGGAGGTGAGCTAGTCACATGTGCCAAGGGCAGACCTGGCGTGGGTCCAGAGGGGAGTGACACCACACCTGGGATGGCGGGATGCACACGGTAGCACAGAGAGGAAGCGCCAGCCCCAGCTGGATACTGTCTCGGGCCTCCCCTCCTCATTTTTGATCTACTTTCCTGGGCAGTGTCCCTCTGATCAGCAATTCAGGTTACTAGGCACCATGACTCCAAACACAGRCACATCTTGACTAATGCCCCACATATGTCAGACCAAAGGGCCAGGTCCCCGCTGTGGATGTTATAACCCACTATGGTGGCGTAGGTGGTATCAGTCTAAGGTATATCTCACTGGCAATGGTCCCTCCACCAAGCTGACCTCAGGGTGTACACAAGGTAGAGGACTAGACCCTGTGGTATGTCTACCAAGCTTCCTGCATCTGGGGAGGACTACCAAATGCAACATCCGCTTCATCCCAGTCAGTGCTGGGAGCACTGAGCATATGCTCAGTGGCCTCCACCTGGACCCCTCCTGCCAGCCGCCCTCACTGGCCTCTTCCTCTGCAGAGCTTGATCCCAGGAAGGAGCTGGGGCTCTGGTCACTGTAAGCAGTGAGGGACAGCAGATCCCAGCTCTGCCCTGGGGCTGCTGGCCTGGCAGAGGGAATCCCTCAGGCCTACAGTCAAGGTCAAGCTCCTCTGCCCCTCAAAGCTGTAAGTTACCGCCATCAGCTTTTCTCGGGGCCTCAGCCACAGGGACAGCCCTGCGGTCCCCAGATCCATGCTCTGGCCTCACCTGTGCACCAGCTGTGTATTCTCCTGCTTTAGCTTGCTCTTCAGGTCCCCACTGGTCAGGCTGTCATTCTCCAGCTCTGTCACCTTCTTTTCTAGGAAGCTTACCTACAGCAGAGAGTAGGGACGGGCTAGAGAAGACCTTGGAGGCCACAGGACTGAGAACCTAGAAAGTCCATGACCAAGACCTTCAAATGGCAGTGCATGAGAAAAGTGGTCATGTTGAGTGAGGATGACACTGAGGGGCCCACGTGCCTGTCACCCCTACCCCTAGCTCTTGGACAAGGTACAGGGTCATCTGAGTCCCCAGCCGGCAGCCCAAAGTACTCCCCACTACCCCCGGGAGCATGCACACACTGACTCCCTTCCTTCTCCACCTGCCCAGGGCCCACCTTCTCCGTGATGTCATTGTCACAGGAGTCAATGCTGTCCCGGAACAGGTCCTCAGTGCTGCCGTTACTGCTGCTGAAGTTACTGTTGTGCATGAGCTGCCTGCAGGGGTGGGCGATGGATTGTGGCTGCAGGGGCCCTCCAGAGGTGGGGTCCAGACGCAGGCTACAGGCTGGGGGAACCTGCTGTACCCTAGCGGCCCCAACAAGGAGGCCGCCCTCCCTCAGCCAGTGGGGGAGAGCATYGCCTGCTCTGAGGCTGGTGGAGGGGCTGCTAGCAGCCATGACCCATCCACAACTGCTCTTTCCCGCCACCTCCAAACCCTCTTCACAGCAGCATCCAGCCAACAGCTACCAAATGGCCAGGGCTGGCCTACGTACGAGGCCCCTTTCTTCTGGTTAGAAAGCTGCAATAGAGGGAGCCTGGCTCCACAGGCCAGCCCAGGGCCTGACCTCCTGCAGCTGCCCAGTGGGGCTCGGCCCCCTCCACCGGGATGGCTCCTGCCACCTCTCAGGGAACTCTGGAGGAAGGTGCAGGAGGGATCCAGCATGCTTTACTGGCACTGGGTTGAGGATGAGGCTGGAAATAGGTGGACATTTACAGAGGTCATCCTTAGAAAATTTCAGCTGCCATCCTCTAATGACATCCCTTGCCCTACTCCATCACAGGCAGCAGCCAGGGTCTGTACCAAGAGGCCATCCCACCCAGAACTGAGCCAGAGCCTGGGTGCTGGCAGCTGATATCCTGGCACGGACCTGGGCCAGGCTACAGGAGCATGGCACAGGACCCCAGGGGCAGCAGGGCAGCTGTGCAGGACTCACTGCATCTCTGCCAGGAGGAACCCAGGGTCTCTTTTGTATGAAGGGCACGACAACTGTGGGGTCACTGTCTCAGGGCATCCCTGCCAAGTCCACACAAGGCCGAGGCAGTCAAAGGTGTGACGACACTGACCGAAACCAAGAGGGGACCAAGGGAAGAATGAGGGCGAGGAAGGGCATGCACTTCTTTCTGAGAAGCAGGCCTCTGGCTGCTCTGCTACAGGGCCCTGGGCACCCTCACACCCCTCTACTCATTCAGCCACCCACAGGACACTGGCTGAGTCTGGGCTGCTGGCACAGAGACCTGGCCCCCAGGCAGCAATAACATAGTTAAGGGGGACAGCTCTCAACTCATTGTCCTCCAAGGGGTCCTTACCGTCCAAAGGCAGTGCTAGAGATTTTTCGGTTGGGGCTGGGGAGAGAGAAAGAGAGAGAAGAAACAGTCACTGACCAGTGTCTGGTCCATTCCTTTACTCTACCTATTACAASACACCAACATGCAGAATGAGGCTTGTCCCTCCACTAAAGGGATTTTGCATGTCCACTTGGCCCCGAGAAAAAACAGTTTGACTTCCTGTTGCAGGAAAAGCCCCCAGGATCAGCCCTGCTCTGAGTGTCCTCTGATCTGCTAAGACAGAGTGGACTGCCCTGCCCAGGACTCCTGCCTCCAGGCGCCACCTGGCCTCCCACCACCTCTGGGCTGTGGGCCTCACCTGTTGGCCTTCAGGTTTTTCAGCCGGGCTTCCAAGTCATTCAGCAGGTTGATCTTCTTGCAGCACTGAGAGCAGTACACATCCAGCAGCTCGCTGTTGTACGTGTGCCGCATCTTCCTCGGTGTCTGCCCCGCACTGATCCAGGGGAGGGAGGAAATCACCTTCTTAGCCGTCAGGCTGTGCCCTGTCCCTGCTGCTGAACTCACTTCATTTGGTTCCCAAGATTTATAAACTTTGCAGAGCAGGGCAGAGAGTGGGAATAAAGCAACCGAGCATCCCTTCACCAACAAGCTCAAAGAGAAGCGGCCGGTGAGATGCACCCACTTAATAAGCACAGCACACCAAGAGRGAATGTCAGAGGAAGTAATGACTCAGGTGGGGGGAAGCGATCATGGAAGGAGGTTCTAGAAGCAAGATGACACAGACACCCCTGTCAGGGCCTGTGGCCTTCCGGCTTAGTGAACTGTTTCTTTGCTAAGATGGAAGGAGGGAGGAAGAACTCCAATCTCCCAATTGGGGTGCAAAGGCAGCACCCCCAAGCCCCAGGTCAGAGGGCAGGATGGTCATTTCAGGACTCTGCCTATCTGATCTCCTAGGATGAGGCTGGATTGGTTCTGCCATTTTTTTTTCTGAGCCCCCAATACCATCCCAGACCAAGGAGCCACCTGGAAGACACCGAAGACCCCAGGTCTGAGTAGACGTTGGTCCTGGTCTCATCATCGGGGCAGGGGCTGCTGGGGGCACAGTCCACGTCGTCCCCCTCCCCGTAGTCTTCAAACTGCTCCTCGTTGCTGATTAGTGAGGCGGTGGAATGTGTGGAGAGGTCTGATGTCGTCATGGATGGAGTGTGGACCAGGGACCTGGGGGCCACAGCATCTGTGTTAGTGAAGGACTGAGGGGGTCCCACCTATAGCTCCTAGTGGGGGAGACAGGCCAGGCCTTCGGGACTACAGACAGTGAGAATCTCATCCAGTTTGCATCTTTTGACTTTGGGACCCCATCCCAAAGGGAACATCTCACCATAGAAACTTTCTGCAAGACACAATGCAAACTGAGTAGCAAAACATTGGTTACTACTTGAGCAGTTTAACTCAATTAAATTATAATTATAGTTATTAAACTAGAACATACATTAGTGAATCAAACATTAAGTAATGGAATATAAAATGGTTGTTGAAACCTTCATAAAAATATTGGCAATAATCTAAGAAAATGAATATAAATAAAGTTAGTTACAAATTTTGAGACATTTTTAAAGACTGAGTACATAAGCTACATGCAGTGGCCCATGCCTGCAATCCCAGTGACTTGGGAGGCTGTGGCAGRAGGGTTGTAAGTTTGAGGTCAGTCTCAGCTACTTAGTGAAGTTCTGTCTCAAAACAGAAAATAAAAGGGCTGGGGGTATAGCTTAGTGGTAAAGTGCCCCCAGGTTCAATCTTCAGTATTCAATAAAAAGAAGAAGACCGAGTATGTCAAAGGTCTATACAGAAGGAGGAAGCATAGGAAATAAAAACACTGACATGGTAACAGGACTCGGGTTTAGGGTCATTGCTTATTTTTCCTCATTCTTGCTTTTCCTACCTTTTTCAAGTTTTGCTTAATTGGCATGCACACCTTTTAAAATGAAATGATAGATAGCAATAAGCTATTAGGTAAGAAGTGTCTCCTGCTTTAGAGAGGAGACTTCCAGTCCAAAGATGTTTAATCAAAAAACAAAACAAAACAAACCACAGGTCAGAGCCTCCAAGGGGGACCCAYGGTATGTCCTGTGACATAACAGGGCCTGGCTGGTCCCATCTATCACCCAACAACAGAGAGCGGTCCAGCGCATCCCCTGTGAACGTATCTCCCCTGTGGTCACTCTGCGGTAATTTCCCTACACCATCACGCAGACATCATGATTTCCCTGAGCTCCCTGAGCCTCCACTCAAAAATGGGGAACCTGAACTAGGGAAAGAATCTTGTAATCATGGGTTAAAGCAGCAATTCTCAAACCATACCCCCGAGGAACCCCAGTTTCTATCTAAGGAACCGGGTTAATGATAGGGTGAGTAAAGATTGCATTTCCTGGCACCTCGCCCCATTTTTTGTTTATTTATTTATTCAAAAGCCCGTCTTTGGGCTCCTCGGCACTTCAGGTTGAATTAACCGCATTGCTCAGTTCTTTCCTTATAAATTTGACTGAAATTCTTGGCAGCCAGGGCTGGCTGGCCTCTTGGTCATTAGTTCCAGAAAACAAGGGTGCCAAATGGCAGATGACCGGCTACCAGATTGATGGTTCTGTTGGCCTCAGCCATTTGTTTTGGGGTGGACTGGTCACAGGTGTAGTTGATGTAGTTCCAGCCACCATGGACTCCTCTCAGTAGACAGACCACGTCCAGGGGGCCCCCCGAGGGCATCATGACTCTGAGCACTGGGGGCTGCACGTGTTAGGCTGAACCACCTTTTGGAAGGTCGAAAAACTGAGGAAAAGCTGGCAATTTCGTGTGGTTTAGCCAACACTGGAACACCCCTCCCCTGCCCTCTCTTAAATATCTGAGTTGCCCTGTCACTTTCTTCCAATACCTGGGTCACCACTCCTAATTGCTGTGGCCTCTCAGCCAGGTGGTGGCTGCATCCCCTCACCCCACAAGCACTGTATCCCTCCAGAGATTTCAGGAGAGCTGAAATGGAAGACTCCCTTCTGCTGATACCACACTAACAGATCAGGGCCTGGCCGACCCCATCCACAACCTACTAACAAAGAGAGGTCAAAGCATCACCTCTGACCAAGTCTTCCCTTTAGTTACGACGTAGTAATTTCTCTCTATTATTATCCTGGAGAGTCACTAGGTCTTCCCTCTCCTCCTGCAGTGCTGGGGATTGAACCCAGGGCCTGAGCATGCCAGGCAAGTGCTTTACCACTAAGCTATATCCCCAGCTCTACTTAGGTATTCATACTATTTTTTAAACAATTCTGATGAAAGAGTATGTGTTCCCTCTCATTAAGCAGTCATTAAAACTGACTTGGCACAGCTGCCTGAAATTCCAGAACTCTTCCTACTGTCAGGCATCGAGGCTGCTTAGAACTTCCCGCGGTGCAGAACCCGCAGAGAAGGAACGCCGGGGATGCCATCTTTAGCGTCCCACGTGCTCTCTCTGGAAAGGCCTTCCAATAACTGCATTTCTGGACACATACGGAGCTCCATCAGTTTTCACTCACTTGTCYTCTGGCAGAAACAGGCTCCCGAGACCCCGCTCCTTGTCCTCGGCGGGACTCCCGACAGACCCCTCCAGGCTCTGGGTGCTTTCCATGGGGCTGTCCAGATCTGACTCCAGGGAGCCCTCGGCTGGGGCCAGTGTCATCATAGGCTCCTCCTCGTCCTCGGGAAAGATGCTGGGCTCCCTGGGGATGAGCTCGCCATCAGCAAAGGTGGAGCCGGGGACCTCAATGTCCTGGGAAAGACAGGAGGACAGAATGACTGGGGGCTTGAGATTACTGGAACTTGGCATGCCTCATCCAATTTCAAGGGCATCAACAGGGCCAGGGACAGTGGAGACTGCAGTTTGGGAGGGCCCAGGCCCCAAGATCACAAGTGTGAGGATGCCTGGCAGGAAGACTAGTTTGGGGCTTCTCATACTGGACCACTCATGAGAGTCCAGTGAGGAGCTAGACCTCCCAGGGACAGCCATCCATGGTGAAGGGCCACAGTTAGGCTGGTCACATCACTCAGAACACCTGTTGGCATGCTGGAGCCCTCCTCACAAAGTCTGCACAGGAAGCCAAATGACAGAGCAGGCTCCTTGGTGATCTACACTGGGGACGTGTCCACACTGAACACTGAACGGCCTTCAAGACTACCCTGACCTCACAGAGTTTGACACAGCACGGTACAGGGAAGTCTGCACAGCTTGGGATCCACCCTCCATGATTCTGGGCATGTCACAGAAACTCAGTCCTCCTCTGTAAAGCAAGACCGGCAACGAAGTCTCACAGAACTACCGTGGCCACTGCATGAGGTCTTTTGTGTTAGCCTTTGGCACTCAGTAGGCCCTTGATAAATAAATTCTGGCCAGAGGGCATGATGCCAGTCCAGGAGATAAGTGCCTGCCTTGGCCCTGCCACAGCCACGCTGGGGAGTRAGAACACCAGGCCTTTCACTTCTGAGTTCTGGGCCAGACCCGCCCATGCTGATCCAGGGCTGAGCACAGCACCCTGCACAAGGYAGGTGTGCAATAAAGATCTGCCTAGGTCTTCTGCTGAGGTTACCTCCTAAGAAGAGCTTTGGCTTTGTCAGAGTGGACTCTCATAYGAGGAGCAGCTCTCTGTGAGCCACTTCTAGGGATTACTTTGCTTCTGAGGAGGTAGGTACCTTCCAGGTGGCTCTGCTTTTACCTATTCCCATGGGGATGCTAACCTGTTCCCAAGGTTCTACCGTGTGCTCCTAGGCAAGGGCTGACAGAGCGCTCTATTAAAAGTGTTTTTTCCTCAACCCAAGATTGCAAGATGGGTACCGGAAACAAGGGCTACAAAAAGTCTCCAGTAGTCTCAGACACGCACAGGTTCCGGGAATCTGTGCAAACCACATGGAGACAGACCTCCAGGGTGCTGAAACCCACCARGAGACTCCTGAGCTGGGAATAGGAGGTGATTAATGAGCTTTGCTCCTGCCTGGACCATGACTTGGAGTGAGCACCAGATGGACCAATAAAGTCAGCACAAGCCATCCTGACTGTGGAGAGCAGGCGGCTGAGTATCAAAATCACCCACAATGTTCACAGGCTGTTTCCACCTGGATGTCACTCATCAGATTCCTCATGGCTCCTAGACCCTAAGCAGGCTCGTCATCAGCAAGCACAAAGAGCATCCTGATGGCCGCAAAAGGACACTGACGTTACTGAGCAACCACCTTGCTTCGGAGATGGCGCTGAATTCATATTTTATTCACTGGGGGTTTCGTGACAGCTATTCTGGACAGCTACTGCTATTCCATTTTACTGAGGCTGAAATTGTGGCATAGAGAGTAACTTCCCAGAGTCTTCTGGCCAGTAGGCAGAGGAACACCCCCCCCCAACATCTGGATGCCCAGCACTTGGTTCCATTTGTACTGTTGTCCCCACATTTCACAGATTTTCACACCTGGAAGTAACAAGGAGGAGACTGCACTTTAGTTACTATTTCTGACCCCTGGGTGTTCTGCCGGATGTAGCAGCTTCCACATAGGCTCGGGGCCTGGGCTCTTGGGGAGGACAGCTAGTGATCTCTGCCTTGCCCTCAAAAAACCTCAGACTTCCCCTTCCTGGCCACAGTGTGCAAAATCAATAATAGCCAGGAAGGCTACTGTGTGGCTCACAGGAGAGCTCACCACAGCCCTAGGACTTGGCTTCCTCTCCCCTTTCTGTAGGTGAAGGGTCTTGCCTGGAAAGCAGGGGCTGGGACCTGGATGTGTGTCACTCTCCCCACACACACACATCTGGGGTCCTGAGGCAGAGGTGGCCCACCTGGTTCCCAGAAGGCAAAAGTGTCAGAGGGACCAGGATCCATGCTTCTCAGGTGTCCAGACTGGCCTATGGACAGCTTGGGTTTGGCCCAGTGGACAGTCTCACTTAAACACTAACTCATGGTGGCAGGTGGGGACAGCTAGCCCCCTCACCTGATGATGTTCCTCTCACTTCTGGCAGCTGGTCCAAGCTCCTACCCAGGCAGAAAGAGTGATGTCAAGTGGCCTGTCTCAGTCATGGGCCAGGCAGAGGAAGGGGCACTAATGCCCGGCCCTCCCCCAAAAGACCATCTCTTCCTGGGGCAGCTCTTCTTCAACCTTTGCAGAAGCAGAATCCACACCTGCCTGCCCTTCACCTTTCACAAAGTGTCCTCTATCTGTCATGGGGCCCTCTGAGGGCTGTGKGAGGGTTACAGGGAGAAAAATGCCYGAATCCTGTCTCTACCTGATACTTGGAGAAGAGGAGGCTCAGAGAGGCGGTGGCCATCCTGGAACTTCCCTGTTCCCAGAGGGCCCTGCTGAGACCTGAAGCCCAGCTCAGACAGGCGGAGTGCACGTCCCTCACCTCCCTGGGCTGCACACACACTCACTCTAACTTTTTCTCTTCAAATTARCTATTCCCTCCATTAATACCTTTTCATTTAACCCACAAGTGTTTGCCCAAGGCAAGTGGAAATGATAATTACCACTTCAAAACCATTTCTGGTAGTTTCCCCCTAAATTAAAATAGTATAAAGATAGCTATGAGAAAAGTCACTGTATACCTTGGTTAGTCTGGGACAGTACCGGTCTGTGCCTGTCCCAAGGCCTTTTGGTTTGGCAACTATCCTGGACAAAAGCAGCACTGGTCACTCTGGCTCAGTTCCTGGGCCCAGTTCCTTCTCCCACTAGGCTCAAGAGGAGAGCGGCCGCTCTGATGCCACGTACCTCAGGCAGAGAGGCAGAGCGGGGACAGTGGTGGACGGTGATAGGAGGCAACCTCTTCTCCCCTCCCTGAGTTTCTCCTCATGGCTGGAAGAACTCAGAGTCATTCTAGAGCCCCTTCTGAGCCAGTGCCTCTTTTATGGGTTTTAAAGTTGCAGAGGGAAAGAACAAACTTGTCCATATGAAATYCCCCTCCCAGGGGTCTAGGGGACATGGGGACGTGGGCTTCCTAAAATACCCTCCAGCCTGGGGGTAACAGCTGTATAGAGCACCTGTTATGAACACAAGAAGCCACCTCGCTGTACACGGGAGAGCTCTGGGGAAAGGGGTAGAGCAACAGATGAACTGTCAGGGTGCTGAGGCCGTCCACGGGAGCTGAGGCAAGATGCCTGCCGCTTTCCCAGACTGACCCACAGCTGACTCTGACCATGGAGATCCAGGCCGTAGCAGCCCCGAAGGTGCTGGGGTCCTTCCCTCAAGGGCTGGGGGTAGTGGGAAAGAGGACAGCATCATCATGCTGACGGTCTCTGGCTCCAGCCCTGAGACTCGCTCTGGAGGGCTGGCAGGATCAGGGAGCGGCGAACAGAGTCCCCAAGAGCATGAATTCCCAGGTACCCCGGTGTCTGAGCAAGGCAGGTGTCCAGGGTACCTTATGGGGCTCTGCCCCTCAGATCTCCCCTTTCCTGCCCTTGTCCCCCAGTGTGTGAAAAAGGTATCCATGCAATTTCATCCAGTCACCAGTCACCATCCAGAGGCCCCCACATCAGGGACAGATCCGGGCTTGGCACTTAACAAGGACTCCTGGGAGGTTGCAGAGAAAGGCTGTATCTGATCTTTTGGGAGACTTTAGGCAAGGGACACAGTGACTTCAACTGGCAACACAGGGCATCGTTGGAAGTCCACTCTGACAGGGATTGGAGCCCAGAGGCTGCCCTGGGCACAGAGCTCCCAGCCTCCCAGGGCACAGGGCCAGCTCTGGGGACCACCCAGGCTTCCTTCCTTCCCCCTGCAGAGGGCTCCCAGGAGTGAGGAAAGGCGGGGGGCTGGGGGGAGATCCAATGTGGGTGGAACTGGGTGAGCGCACAGTTCTGGAGCCTGGTAGACTGAGTGGCAGTCTGGTGGCCCAGCCATTCATGGGCTCTGTGCCCCTGGGTCATCCCCTTCAGAGCAGAAACTGTCACCTCTAGTTTAGAGGCTGCTGTAAAGGGTGTGCTTGACAATTTGCACAATCACCAGAGAACAGCTGTTGGAGCCGTAAGTCCTGGCCTGGCCTGTGTGTGTGACGGCAGCTGAGCTGTCCCTGTGGTCCATGTCCCACCCTGGTCAGCCAGCAAGGCCCTGACAGATAGGCAGCCAGGCCCGGAGGATTATTTGAGGCCAGGAGTTTCTGGAGAGAGTTCTCAGGCCCATGACAGGGGAAACAGGACCCAGCTGGCCGCTCTGGCAGGGCACCTCTGTGCYGCCAGCATCCCCAGCAGCACTGCCATCTTCCACTTTGCCACCCTGTCTCCAGATGGAGCTGGGCAGTGCTGGCAGCGGCTGGAAATGGAGTCTGGGGACACACAGCCTGCCTGTGGGGCCCCTCTTCATTCTCAAGAGCGGCGTTCAGCCACCGGCAGACCCCAGAGTCACCCYCTCCTCTGTGGGAAGTTGGCAAGGGCTGAATTCAAAAGCTGCTGAAAAAGCCAAATGGCAACACGTGTGTGAGTTGGGGGAGCATCAAAGTCTCATAACAGAGCAGCCATAACAGTCCCCGTCCCCACGGTCAGAGGGGGTGTGTGGCCGGGCCTAAACTAAACAGCTTTATTTGGCCTTCACCCTCACCTACTTAGTCTGTCTCCAACTCACGCACACCAGGACACTGCATTTTCCTGGTAGCTAAGGTGCAGGGGACATTGACTGAGGGGCTATATTTCTACACTCCCTACGAGAGGGAAGACGCTGAATGGTTAGCCGGGGGATTCTGCGTCTGAACCCTGGTGGTTAGCACCCTAGGGAKCACCTGACAGGTGATTGAGAGTGTTGGCTGAA